ATAATAGTCAGTAATGTAGGTGAGCAGCGCACGCAATTACACCGGAATGGACAAGTAATCTACGGGCCTAAATATGTGAACAGGTGCTTATGACGCTGCGATGCCACGGCTATATGTGTGGGAGCGCTTTACAAAAAAGCTGCATTTCTTAGTTTTATCTTTCTTTTGTTCACTCACATTACTCTGTAAGTGGTTTGTTTGTTAACTGATAAAGATAACAAGTAATATACCCTTCACAGGTGCATTTCTTTTAATAACTATGTGTTCAGTTTATATGGCGGCAATATGCTATAGTAATCCGATCGGAACAATTTCTTCGGATATTACATTGATGTCTTAAAAAATAATCTATTCCAAATTTCGTGAATATATCTTGGTAAATGTGAAAGTTTTCCATACAAGAACTTGATTCCGATTGTTCAGTTTGTATGGCAGCTATATGTTATAGTGGTGCGATATCGGCAGTTCCGACAAACGAGAAGCCTCTTGAAGAGAAAATGACGTTTGCAAAATTTCAAAACGATATCTTAAAAACTGAGGGACTAGTACGTATATATACAGACAGACGGTCGGGCGTACAGACAGACAGACGGAAATGGCTAAATCGACTCAGCTCAACAAACTGATCATTTATATATATATACTTTATGGGGTCTCCGACGCTTCCTTCGTGGTAAACTTTTTATACCCTGTTCAGGGTATAATAGTATAAATGTGTCGGCGCTTGCCTCAATTCAAAAATAATTGGTACGCATGTAGAGCGATCAGAATAACGGGTAATGCCAACATTTGAGTAAATATTTTTGTTTTTCGAAATATAATGTTTTCTATTGTTATTTTATCAAATAGTAGTACTGAGAGTACAAAACAATACTAACCATATTAGCTGGACTAAAAATGCATATTATGGCTCTAGTTCTCCAAACTAAATTAAAGAGTCCATGGAAATAGACAGCGATGGTTGGTGGTGGAGGATGGAGTCATGTGTAGAAGTTCACGCAAGTGAGGAAAGTTTTCTGATCGCCATTCACGTGGGAGTGGCCAGAAACGATTCTTTTACATATGACTCAAGCAGCTCACGACTTCCGGTCCTTGACCAAGTACCCTCTGGGTAGCCTAAGAACATCCGTTTGAAGGTGAGCTAAAGTGAGAAGGCGAAACATTCCCTGC